GGTGTACACACCTACCGCAGGATTGAGATGAGACTCAGGCACTTAAATTCAAAACTGTAGTCCCTGCCCAGCTGCCACCCAACCAGGAACATGTCTAAACTCAGAAGGCACCTCCCTTTCACATAACCTCCCCTCAGTACCTACAGATTTACTTTGGTCATGCCCAGAACTGCCCTTGTTTGAGCAACCTGGCATCTTACTCTCATGTAAGCCCAGTCAGAACCACAGAAGAAGGGAAGAGATTGCCTTGGACCCCTCAAAATACACTTACTGCACATCAGCAGAGTAGGGCACTTCCCAAAATACACTTTCCCAGGAGCAAGTCCAAACACATTAGTACACCTCAGACAGGCAAAAATTTATTTCGGGTCTCTGAAGTGTTGGATTACTTCTTCTAGCCCTCAGGCTATTATGAAATGTGTTATGGCAGCAGTGCTTCCATATAAAAGAAAATCACTCCTAGCTAGAGGTTGTGAGAAGGAAGGCATGTGAGGGGATCTCACCATCTCTCCTGGTGTAACGACTCCTTTGACACAAGGAACAGGCCAAATAACAAACACACCCTTGAAAGTGCAGTCCTGTGCACTAGCGGCAAGGGGCACCCATCTCGGTGGCAAAAGTTCTGATCCAGCCACTTACAATTTAAAACACAGAAGTTCTCTAGAGACTGGGGTCGGGATGACCACCATGAATCCTCCAGGACTACAAGTCTGTAAATCCTGGAATGAGCAAAACATCCGCCTGTATGTTAAACCCATCCCAATGCTTGTCACGGCGCAGTGGGGTGAGGGCAGCAGCACGGCTGATAAAAGCTCGCTGCCAACAGTTCTGGCTTTCACCCAGCAAAACGTCCAAAAATGCAACGAAAGGATGCACTTAAGAAGCAGCTGAACAGAAGACACTAAAAAAAAGCAATGATCTTCCTCTCCTAAGCCTCAGGCTGCTTGCTGACAGCCTCCGCCATCTGAAGGCCTCGCTGCTGTTGAAACTGTACGTAAAGGGGACAGTTTCCCAGGGCTGATTCTGATCTTGCTGACACTGGAATATATCAGGAGTATTGCTAATACCATAATTGGAATAATTACACAAGTTTTTTTTAAAAAAGGGGGGGGAGAGGGGAGGAGTGGAGGGAGAGGGAATGTTTGATACCAGACAAAGACACTCAGCGAGCAGTCACGCACATTCAGCTCAGTTTCATGACTCATTTTCTGACACTTTTTTGAGAAATGTTGTCCATTCCATTGGGGTTTTCTTTTCTGCACTGGCTTCTGGGAAGAAATGTTTCCTACCTCTACCAAAACCTTTCCTCTTCTCAAAATGGGAAGAACGGTTCATACCTTGCACGCACTTTGTGCCGTGTTTAGAAAACGTTCTTGATTAAGGTAATCTTGAGGTCTGAAAGTTCAGTTAAAGCAAGACTTTAGACTACAAAAAAACCTTTTTAAAATTATGGATGAAATACTTAAGGTTGGCATGATGAAGAAGAGAGGCAGTGAGGCCACCAGCCAAAAGTAGCGTATATTCCTGTTTAACAGCTGACCTGGGCTACTGAAGACAGAGCAAAGCTCAATGAGAAGACAGTTTGGGTGGCATTTCCAAGGCCAGTTTGGGTGTCTAAAACCCCCGGCAATTTTACGCCACCTCTGGATAATCCATTCATAGTAAATGAGACGGGACCATAACCTTTGCGCTTGCAGAAGATTCCTGCAAACCTTTCCCAGGGCTTTTCCAGCAGAGCTCTACTGTTCCTCTGAATGCACTGGGAGCTCCTTGCAGAACTCCTGTGCTCATCTGCGCCAAGTATCCGGGTGTGCAGTTCGTGGGAACTTCTCAGACAAGAGTGCTGGAGGCGATGGGCCATGGCTCCATCCCTATCCACCTCTGCAGGTGCAACTTCCCCACTCTTACAACTTGGTAGTACCCGTGGTGTTTTCCCCATAGGATGTCTTCTTGTTATTTAAGCTCAAGCAAGCGCTTCTAAGGTTCATCAGATGTGGTGGTTCATTTCAGCTATCTAAGCAGCTTATTCTAGGGTTCATCTCATGAAGTTTGTAAATTCCATCAGCTTCCAATATTCTTCTAGCTGCAGTAGTGCTGCGTGATTCAGAAATTTCTTTTAAAGGGGGCTGTGGTTCTGCAGAAACCATTCCAGGATGAATTCAGGATTTCAAATTAATAAATATCTCTCTTTTTTTTTTTTTTTTCCTAGTCAGGCTTGAGATATGCAGTAAAACTGAAAGATGGGTCAAAATCTTCCAATTTATGTGCAGGATACTGACTAACTGAAAAACTTTCCCAAGTATGAAAACAAAGAACCATTTTGTGGGGTTTTTTTTTACAGATGGGTTGAAAAATTGCAGAGCCTATGTACTTCAGCCCACCCATTTGACCCTATGCACACACTGAAATGCTTGGCCAGCCAAAGATATTTTAATTGATGGCCTAAGTGAATTATTGCATCAGTAAAAAAAGTTACTTTAAAAAATTACAACTAACTTGGAAAGTTGGAAAACATCCATCCAAAGTGTTTTTTTCTAAAGTTTATGAGCAATATAAACTCTCAAAGAAAGTTCACTGCTAACTGATGACCATATCAGTAATACGTGTCCACATGGGCTGCCCTTTCAACAGGTGCAGTTATTTACATCTGTGAAGCCTCCATCCATCTTAGCCAGTGGCTTTTTTGAGGTAATTTCTCTTTGAATTGCCAAAGCCAAACATGCCACAGTCAAGAATTTTCTACCTCTGTTGCTGCAATTCTGTGCTAAATGGCGTAACACTATTTTTCTGTCAATGTTATAAACCTTTCACCGTGGCCTGATTTCCTAACAGAAAACTGATGGCAGCAAACACCAAAAAAAAAAAAAGAAAAAAAAGAAAACCAACCCCCACCAAAAAACCCAAAAAGGGCAAAATGTAGCCATGAAAGATGGTTCAGGTTTATAAACATAGATGTAGAGTGCCATTGCAACCCTAACCTGAACTGTCTGGAATACAGCGATGCATCCTTAGGTCTCCTACACCAGCGTATGCCCCTGAGCTCACAAAGGACCTTGAGAACCCAGCATGGCAAAATGCCAGCGTCCCACCGTGCCCCTTTCAAACTAAATCCCAGCGGTTAATATGCACAGCAGACATGCATGGGTCACTCTCCTCCCGGGGGAAAAATATAGCCCAGTTAAAGTGCAGGACTGTTAAATATTTGCATAGTTTTGAAATGAACCAGTTGAGAAAATCTCTGCTTCTTCATCCCAAGGTTGTCCAAGTTTCCAACGATTGTTCCTGGGGCAGCGGCGACTATGTGTAAACTATGGTCAATGCCGGGGTGGGAGCGGGAGCGGTGCGGGGAGCCCTACAAACGGCTCGCCCGCTCTGGACATGAAACACAACTGAAGTTACTGAAGTTTTCCATCTCTTCATCGCTGCCTTCCCCCCGCC